AAGCAAGATGGCGCCTTTGCGCTCCCGTTGCTTCGCTGCGCCGCACAGCAGCTGGGCCTGGCGCTGTGCCAACTTCACGAGCTCAAGGTCGCTCACGGCGATGTCAAACCTGCAGCAGTGTTCTTCAGCCGTGAGCAAAACTTGTTCAAGCTCGGGCGTTTCTCGTTGTCGGTTGACCTCCCCCAGCAGGAGCCTCTGGACATGATGAGGTACACCGCCGGCTTTCGAGCCCCTGAGCTGTGGGTTCCCTTGGAACACGCCCGTGTTTCAGTATACAGCGAGGCATGGGCTTTCGCAATTACCCTCATAGAGATGTACACCGCAAAGCACCCTTTTGAAAACTTGAAGGAAGTGCACAAAGCAGATTTGAGCAACATGAGTGAGCTGCCAGACTTCTTGAAAGGCCTGCTGCTGCCATGTTTGCGTCATGTTCCCGAGCAGAGGATGACTGTGCAGGAGCTTATGACACAGGGCCTGGCCTTGAAACTGCCCGTGGCGGTTGAAGAGGCAAATTCGGCAGAAGCGCAGGCGGCCTGTGGAAATATTATCTAGATGTGTTCGCCAGGGCGGGAAACAATGATTTTGAAGTGCAGCGATGGGTTCGCTGTGCTGAAGCCAGTTGGTTGTGATTCAGGACATGGCCAGGGAGAAAAAACACGTGCCTCCATGTCAGCTCTGACGTTTTTTTTTGTTTTTGTTTGACGAAGGCAGAGAGCTTGCATTAGCTGATTCGCTTGTGCCAGTGATGACAGGGGTGCCTTAAAGAGGGAGTTTCCGAGAAGCACTATTTCGGGTTTTGCAATTCGAAAGAACCTCCCGTCATGGCATGCGGTAGCCGCTGGGGCCTAGTAGTTGAAGGTTGGACTGTTTTGATATGTACGTGGTGAGCTTATTGCAGTGAGATGCGCGTTGCCACTGTCTTGTCAGTCTGGTCATACGCATGAGCTGGAATCCTCCATACATAATCCCGACACTTGGCCAAAGATGCAGGCGCCTTCTGCTTTTTGTTGCTTTGCAGGCCAGTGGTGCAAGCTGGCACTTCCTCGAAATGCCGGAGGATCTCACTGAGGGTTGTTGCGTTGGCGAGTGCCCGGCCGGGTCCACGGTTGAGGGTTTAGGGTTTCAAGGGCTCGGAAGTTTTGTTTTGGTGGGGCATGGTCTGTCTGGCAAGTGTAGGACAGTGTAGGAGACACGTTGGTGGGTAAGTAATATTTACCCACCCCCCCCCCCCCAGCCCCTCAGTCCATTGATCATATTTATGGTCTAGGGTCTAGGGTCTAGGGTTTTAAGTAGGGTTTTAGGGTTAAGGGTTTAGGAAACCCCAAAACCTAGACCCGAGACCATAAATATGAAGGCCTAGACCCTGAACCCCAAGCCCTTCTCCCTAAGCCCCAGAGACAGAATTGAAACCGAATCTTCGCTCGTTCACTACGACCCCTAGCCGTAGCCCAAGTAGCAAGCCTGTCCATGCCAGTGTCTGGCCCTGGCCCTGCATGGTCTTGAGTTGAGCGTTACCCTGAAGACTGCGGTGGCCACGAGGCTAGCCCCCCTTTATCGTTCTTGTCCGTTTGGGTCACACGGGCGTCTTGCCTTGCTGGTTGCAGCCTAAGTTTGACCATTGAGTTCAAATCAGCAATCACCTAGGCTCCAGTTTTATTTGGCTGGCAGACAAATTGACGTGAAACAGTCCATACTCGCCTCGGCTTCCTGCCGAGAAGCGTTTGGAACAAGCAGACACGGATCCGGTCTCCTTCCCCCCAACCCAACCCTGGCCCACGCCCCCCACTCCCTCCCGGCCTGCGGGACCCCTCTGCCTGGCTTGGAGGAGTTGCAAACCGATGCTGTTGGGGTGGGGTGTCTGCGACCCCTCGCCCTCGCTTTCCAGCCTGCCGACCGGCTGCCGAGGCGGAAAGGCGAGCGCTTACGATTAAGGGACAATGTAGAAGCACCCTAGAAAATGGCCCTAAACCCCAACCCTTATCCTCAACCCTAAACCCTAAAAGCTGCTCCAATGCTTGACTGACTGGAACTTGCATTCCTTGCGCCTATGAACTGTTAGCACACAATCTCCATGAACCCTACACCGTGCACACCTAACCCTAAACCCTAAAGCCCCCAACTCTAAGACCTACACCAAAAGCACTAGCTGGACATCGGACGCGGCTTAGGGTTCAGGGTTTAGGGTTTAGGGTTTTGGGCGTAGGGCTTAGGCCTTAGGGCTTAGGGTTTAGGGTTTACTTAGGGTTTCGCGTTTAGGGTGTAGGGTCGTTTAGCCAAAAGGTTTAGGGTCCCGCTTTAGGATTTAGAGGGAAGTTTAGGAGTCAGTTAGGGTTTGGGACTGTCAGATTTTGGGGTGTAGGGTTTGGGTGGCGGGACTTGCGGCTTCGGCAGGAAGAACCAGTATCACAAAGCAAAAGGAAAGGAAAGGGAAAGGAAAGGGAAAGGAAAGGGAATGGAAAGGGAAGGGAAGGGAAGGGAAGGGAAGGAAGGACGTAAACAGTTTGGGCGAGAAACAGGGCGAGAGAGTGCGAGAAAATTACCCTGAGGGTGCGGTTTAGGGTTTAGGGTTTGGGGTTAAGGGTTTAGGGTTTAGGGTTCTTTAGACGCTAGGGCTTAGGGCTTCACTGTTTAAATATGCAGACTTGACTCTCCGCCCGAGTCCAAAACCCTGAACCCCCTATAGTAGAAGCCAAAAAAGCTGGAAACTCAATAGCCTCAACCCCTAAGAGTATAGTATAGGGAATCCCAGCACTATTTGTCCTTCAAAAAGGCTTCCAATATTTTGGGGTCTACTGTAATTCCCTGAACCCTGAAACCCTGAAAGCCCCTGAGCCGCCCCCATATGAGAAGCGCAGGAAGCTCAACTTCGCAAAGGATCCCATGGTATTGGCCTCAGAGCCAGAGGCAAACGCTTCGAATCTAAATGTTGAGGGTTTGGGATTTATTTAGGCTTTTTTGGGTTTGGTATTTCTGGTTCCAACCAAGAAGAGCTGACCATCCTTCCTACTTGCAAGGCTCTTCCAAGGTACCTATTCCCGAATTCCATAGTAAGAGCAAAAACCTTCTTCAACCCTAAAGGGACCACGTTGTTACCCTTAGACTGAAGTATGAGTATAGCATATTGGGGCCTAGGGAGGGCTCCGCGATTTAGGATTGAGGGTGCCCAAACTCGCCACGTCTCACACCCCACCCCCACCCCCCGTTTGTGCAAGAAGTTGAGATTTGGGGTTTAGGGTTTAGGGTTCAGGAACAAGGTTTCGGGGAAGGGTGTGTCATCAACTCAGTGGACCACTGCACCCCCTCCACACCCTCAAGACCGAAGCATACTCGTAAACCCTACTTGGAGGCTCATGGGTACTTATACCCCAATTAGAAGTCTATACTTATGACCTACTTATATGGCTTAGGGCCCTGAACCTGCAAGTAGCCCTGAACATCTATTTACCTCATTAATATATACTCGGGCCCCGAAGTCCCTATAGAGCAAGTACTTAAAGGCCCCAAGTATTCCCCATTTAGGTACATGGACTCCAAACCCTAAAACCTATACCCTAAACCCTAAACCCCAAACCCCGTTTAGGTGCATGGACCCTTCTGGGGTAAGCCCTCGGACGCCCTCTTCTAACACGGACAACGCAATGGCTAGGACAGCGAACGCAACCCGCGTGCCTGAAGCCGGTTTAGGGTTTAGGGTTTCGGGTTGAGGGTTTAGGGTTTAAGGAGGGAAACGCCGCAAAGGCGGGAACAGCCGCTCCGCTCGCCTGGCAGAGGACATGAAGAGGCACACCAGCCAAATGATTGGCTTTTGCATGTGGAGTTTGAGGGTTGAGGGTTGAGGCGAGTGTTCAAAGAAATTAGGGAGTTTGGATCTTGGTTCTGGGCCGTTGAAAGCCCTAAACCCTGAATGGGTTCTGGGTGGTTTTTGTAAGGCCCGAAGCCCGACACCCGAAACCTCCAGTTCTGAGGGCTTTGAAGGCTTCGGGCTTGGGTGTCTGGGTGTAAATGCAGGCTAGTAGGATTTCCTGATGAGTCTTGGAAGATGAAGTGTTTCATGAAATTACAAGAGCTTCAGAAGGTTCACGGGGCTTGAGAGTGTCAGGTGAGATGCGTGTTCACTCCAACCTTCCTCTTGCCACTGCCAGGCACAAGCACTGCAGACTGAGCGGCGCAAGTTTGTAATGTTTAGGGTTGCAGGGACTTAGGGAAGTTAGAGTACATCATTCAATGTAGCACATCTTTCCTGGAGCATTTGCTTCCCTTTAGCACGTAGCATAATTTGTTGCCTTGCAGTTCAAGTCTCACTTCAACATAATTCAATAATCTTGCAAGGCTTATTCATTTAAGTCTCATACGCGGACTATGTTCTGTGCAAAGACATATTTGCTGCAAAAAGGATCCTTTTTTCTGCCTGGGCTAACGCTGAGCAAGAAACCCTAAACCCTATATAAACCCTAAACCCCAAACCCGCGCAGCCCTTCCCTGACCGCGTGATACAGGAGTGGCCGGCTTCCCCGTCTTCCTCTGATGTCGAGGAGGACCAGAATCCAGGACCATCTACGTCTACGGTACCTCCCAATGTGACAAATCCGACGTCCTACGCGCCCGGGATGCAAAGCACTTCCTCGCCTCGGCCAGTAGTAGTGCCGTGGGCGCAGCGGCGTTTCCTTTCCCATCGGCGGAAGCCTCGCCGGAGGCAATTGCACACGCCAACTGGGCGGCCATGCTCACAGAGGTGCCACGGATCAGCCACATGGAACCAGAGGTGGAGGATGGCGGCGAATCTCCGTCCAAGCGCCCGCGTCGCACCAGCCGGCCATACGGCCCTACTGTTGAAGCCCGAAACAGATCCGAGCGCACGGCATCCCGCGTAGACCCTACACCCTAAACCCTAAACTAACCCTAAACCCTAAACCCTAAACCCTAAACCCTAAACCCTAAACCCTAAACCCTAAACCCTAAACCCTAAACCCTAAACCCTAGAGCCTGACTGCTCCTGCCAGGCTGCGCCTGTGGCTCCGTCCATCCTACGGCGCCCGTCCATGCAGCAGGACCACGAAAGGGCCCTTTCTAAAGGTTTTTTTTTTTTGGTGGGGGGGGGGGTTCTGGTAGGGTTCTAAGTGTAGCCAACAACGCGGTTTAGGGTTTAGGGTTTAGGGTTTAGGGTTCAGGGTTTAGGGTTTAGGGTTTAGGGCGATCTGGGCCTCGGTGACAGGTTTTACTGTTCGGGTTAGGATTCCAGTGTGTGCCTAGAGCTTGGGGGAGTAACGTCGATTCCCTTCAACAATGGAGAAGTGTACTCTCTAGCTATGTCGAACCTGGCAAGCTGAAATTCCTACGCCTCTGCACAGCCTCTGACAGCGCTATCCTCCCAGGGAACACGTAGGGAAACACGCATCATATCTACATAATATCCCTAAACCCTAACCATTAAACCCTAAACCCTCAACCGCTAAACCGCTAACGTCAGGGCTACGTTGGGGCGATCTTTGGGTTACCGCGCTTTCCGGCGTCTGGTCCATTATTAGGAGGCGGCGCCGGCATCGGCAGCACCCGCGCCAGCTCCCCGCGAGCAGGGACTGAACGGAAACCGCCATTCAGGCAAGGGTTTAGGGTTGAGGGTTTAGGGTTTAGGGTTTAGGGTTACTAGGGTTTAGGGCTTCGTGTGTCTTACGTGAGCAGTCATTCCATTCGTGACACCTCAGCCGTAAGCCCTCTAAGCACCATCAGGAAAATCCTTCAACAGCCAGACCAATCCTTCAGTCTAAGCCTTTCAAAGATAAATAAGAGTGCGATCTAAAGTAGCTGGCTGGTTCTTAGTAGGGAATGAGGGAATGAGGTACCCTATATCCCCTATATTATATATATATATATATATCTATATACCCATGAAGGGATTATGTAGGGTACCTCAGACCTCATTCCCCCATTCCCTACTAAAACCCAGGGTGAAGAGAGGCCTCTGTTGTCTCAGTCAGGCTTGGGCATGTCTGGAGTCGTTTGAGGGAAGCATCAGGGTTTGCGGTTTTAGGAGGCTTAGGGGGTTTAGGGTTTGCGGTTCGGGGTTTGGGTTCGGGCCTGAGGATTTTTATTGCTTTGGGTGTAGGGTTGAGGGTTGAGGGTTGAGGGTTAGGGTTCAGGGTTTAGGGCTTAGGGCTTAGGATTTAGGGTGTAGGGTTTAGGGTTGAGGGTTAGGAATCAGGGTTTAGGGCGTAGTACAAAAAAGGCAGTCGGCAATTGAGTGACCAGGATGCTACATCCCACCAAACCAAAGTGGTTCGGAGGGAACCTTTAACCCTTCAGGGTTTTTTACGGGCTTGTTGTTTGTTTGTCTGTGTGTGTGTGTTTTTTTTTTTTTTTTCCTTGGGGGGGGGGGGGGCAGGTTTTATTAGGGTTCTTAGGTTTTAGGGTTTTAGCGTTTTTTTTTTTTTTTTGGGGGGGGGGGGGGGGGGTTTGGGCTTCAGTTTCAGCTTTCGTACAAGTCTCGGTCCCACAACCTCAAGCCGTAGGCTGAGCATTCACGACTTGACAGAAAGACCCCCTGAATCTCCCTCTCGCGAAGCCCAAAACCCTAAACCGTAAAATCCTAGACCCCAAACCCTAAACCCTAGCCCTAAACCCTAAACCCTAAACCCTAAACCCTAAACCCTAAACCCTAAACCCTAAACCCTAAACCCTAAACCCTAAACCCTAACCCCCAAACCCCAAACCCCAAACCCTCAACCCTCAACACCGCCCCCTCCCCCGGCCGAGAAGAGGCCCCAGACCTTTAGCGCTTCTGATGCCGAGCCGGCTCGTGGAGGATTTCCTTGCGCCCCAAGGCTGGGGTTTAGGGTTTAGGGTTTAGGGTTTAGGGTTTAGGGTTTAGGGTTTAGGGTTTAGGGTTTAGGGTTTAGGGTTTAAGGTTTAGCCTTTAGGGTTTTGGGTTTGGGCTTTGGATTTTAGGGCTTTGGGTTCGGGATTTCAAAGGGGCTTGGGGGCGTTGTTTTTTGGGGGGATAGGCCTGTGTATGGGCTCAGAGGATTTAAGGCTTGTTAAGGGTTTGGGTGGGGTGGGGAGGGGGGAGATGGGTTGTCAGGTTCCACATTGATTGTTTAGGATTTAGGGTCCAAGGGTATAAGGGGTGGCTGTGGGGTTATAGGTGTGTAGCTACTTTTGTCCTCCACGAGCTTCATTCCCCGAACCTACAACCCTACACCCTACATCCTAAACCCAAGCCCCCAAGCCTACGCCTCGGATCACCAAGTTTAGTGCCTGTTTAGGGGGGGTTTAGGTTTTAGGGTTTATGGTTTAGAGCTTAGGGTTCTGCCTCAAATTCCACAAGAGTCGACCAGCCTTTTCGATAAAGCCCAATAGTAACCTTCATGCACCTGTTGCCCAAAAGACAGCGCGCTCTTCTCTTGCCCAGGATCCCTGGGCCACCTCGTATGTATTCCAAAACTCCGGTTGCTGTTTCTGGGGTGTGGAGGGAGGTGCACTTATAGCTCATCTGTTCCCATACAATAAGAGTACAAAGGCACCCGCAACTGAACCTAAGTCTGAAGCACGACCTCGAGGCGAGAGTTGACAAGGTTTAGGGTTTAGAGCTCCCTAGGCTTCTATGCTCTGCGCAGGTCGCACTTCCCCCGGCCACCCTTCACCTAAAGCCTATAACCCTAAACCGCAAACCCCAAACCCCAAACCCTAAACCCTAAACCCCAAACCCCAAACGCCAAACCCCAAACCCTAAACCCTAAACCCTAAACCCTAAACCCTAAACCCTAAACCCTAAACCCTAAACCTCCTGAGATGAGCCCGAAGCTGATCCCTACCCTTGAAGTTCCCAAACCCGAACATGAGGAAAGGGTGCCGAGCCCTGAAGAAAGGGAACCCTCAACAACATCGGAAGTACTTTGGAAAGGGTAGTAATGGAAGGGTCCCTATATCTTCCGACGACAGTCTTCAGGAATATCATAAGTATATAATAAGTAAGGGACACAAGGGTCCTCATCTTCCGTCTCACATTCCTGATTTTCCCTATCCGGAGTTCCCACTCTAAGCCCTAAACCCTAAACCCTAAGCCCTAAACCCTAAACCCTAAACCCTAAACCCTAAACCCTAAATCCTAAACCCTAAACCCTAAACTCACTCTAAGCCCTAGCCCCTCAGACCACCTGGCCGAAGTGGCACGGCGATGTTCGGTTCACGCCACCTGGGACGCAAACCAACATGGGCTTAGGGTTTGGGGTTTAGGGTTTAGGGTTTAGGGTTTAGGGTTTAGGGTTTTGGCCCCTCGGGCTCGCGGCTTCTTCATTTGCTTCCGTGTATCGAGTGTACCGAGCCCGAAGCCCAGGAACCTGCCAAAAACCTCTGCAACTCTGAGACCCATACTTCAGGGTTTAGGGTTTAGGGTTTAGGGTTTAGGGTTTAGGGTTTAGGGCGAGCCCTAAGATCTCCCTCCCCCTTCAATAGCAAGAGACCGACGCCCACTTGGCCAGCCTCATTCCTAAATGCCTGAGTCAGGGCACAGGGGGGTTTTCAAAGATTACCGGGCTTGGGGGGTTCAAGGGTCTTCAGGATTTTGGGGGGGGCTTGTGCTTGTGCTAAGTTGGACGTCGCGGCCGAAGATCCTCCTGGTCAACGGCAGGCGATGGGCACATGAGGTCTTCTGTTCAGGGCTGCCTAGCCTGCCCGCATCTCTGTAGGCTTTGTCTTCTATACTCCTTAGGGTGAGCCACAAGGGTATAAGGCTTTAGGTTTGAAAAGTTTAAACCCCAAACCCTAAACCCTACACCCATACGGCTTTCCCTAGCCCAGGGCCCAAACCTGTGCATCCCCCGCCTGGCAGCCGAAGCTCGCTGAACCCTAAACTGCCCTAAACCCTAAACCCTCAACCCTAAGCCCCTGCATTCCTTCATTCCTTCATCCCTTCATTCATTCATTCCTTCATTCCTTCATTCCTTCACTCCTTCATTCCTTCATTCCTTCATTCCGTCATTCCGTCATTCCGTCATTCCGTCATTCCTTCATTCCTTCATTCCTTCATTCCTTCATTCCTTCATTCCTTCATCCTTCATTCCTTCATTCCTTCATTCCTTCATTCCTTCATTCCTTCATTCCTTCATTCCTTCATTCCTTCATTCCTTCATCCCTTCATCCCTTCATCCCTTCATCCCTTCATCCCTTCATCCCTTCATCCCTTCATCCCTTCATCCCTTCATCCCTTCATCCCTTCATCCCTTCATCCCTTCATCCCTTCATTCCTTCATCCCTTCATCCCTTCATCCCTTCATTCCTTCATTCCTTCATTCCTTCATTCCTTCATTCCTTCATTCCTTCATTCCTTCATTCCTTCATTCCTTCATTCCTTCATTCCTTCACTCCTTCATTCACTGATTCGTTGCTCTGTTGCTCAGTGGCAGGTGTCCCTGTATGGCGATCCAGCAAGTGTCGCGCCGTGCTTGCAAGACGTCTTTTTTTATGTAGACCCAAACCTGCGCTTCAACCCTAAACCCGAAACTGTAGTAAGGGCTTCAAAGTGAAAACCCAAAACCCTGCAGCCTAACCCTAAAACCTAAACGCACTGAACCACAGGCCATGAACCACAGGGGCGGAGGGGGGAACCCCAAAATCAAAACCCACCATGAACCAAAACTACAATCCCCAGTTATACCCCAAAAAGCATAGAACTCCCTCAAAGGGACCCCCCCAAAAAGGTAATTACCCCTATTTTCGCAAACCCCCACATGGGCTCGGCCCGCTCTGCCAAAAGTCGGGGCTTGTCAGGTTGCCCCGCATCTCTGGGGTTTTTGGCGGCTGTCGGCACCACACCCCGGAAGCCCGAGACACTTGTAGAGGGTTCAGGGTCTAGGGTTTAGGGTTTAGGGTTTAGGGTAGGCCCTTGGGATATTTATATATTTTCCCTTATTGGGTTTATGGGATCATACTCCGGATTGTTGTTGTTTTTTTTTCAGAGGGCTTTATGGGCCATCCTAGAGAGTGTAGTTTGGGCTGAAGGTTTAGCTTACCCTTGTACATACAAGTAGGGTATATTTTTCTTGTACCCCCAAAAGGACACCCGGTATATACACTCACCAACATTCCAAATACACTCACCAAGAACAGTAATATGAACCTTATAAACCCTACTTCGCATGAACAATGTTGAGTATACCCAGCAACTAGTTTCGAGCTCCCTGCCTAAAGGCCTGCGTGTAACTTGCGGGGGCATGTAGGTGTGTTGCATGGGTACTTGGGGATCCTAGGCCCTAAACCCTATAAACCTTAAACCCTAAATCCTCTAAACCCCAAACCCTAAACCCTAAACCCTAAACCCTAAACCCTAAACCCTAAACTGAAGCCGTAAACCAACTAGGACTCGGAGTAGCCCCTTATTTCCTTTTTGTAGGGTTGGGTTTCCCTTACAATATACCCTTGAAACCCAAAACGGTAGCCTGTTTATTCCTAGGTTACTTCTGGGTCGCCCTAAACCCTAAACCCGAAACCCTAAACCCTATAACCAATAACCCTGTAACCCTGTAAACCCTATAAACCCTGAAAACCCTAAAACCCCAAACCCTATATAAACCCTATAAACCCAACCCTGCCCAGGGAATGGCCATGCTCCAGCTGCAGATGCGAAGCGCCTGCTGCACCTGGATCTAGGCAGCGGTAAGAAAAGGATAGCGGCACCAGGGTTGAGGGTTTAGGGTTTAGGGTTTAGGGTTTAGGGTTTAGGGAGGGTGCTGATTTTTCAGGGTTTTTGGGGCTGTAGGGTGTTGGAGCTTTATAGCTTTAGGGGCTTGAGGGTTTGTTGTTTTCGGGTTAGGGTTTCAGGGTCATCCGAAAGCCAGACGTCCAGAAGCTCTACTGCCTGAAAGCCCTGAAGAGCTGAACTTTAAAAAAACAATCCCAAATGCCAAAGCCACACAGCGCACACTCACCACATCCTGAACCCAGCCCCTCAAACCTCCCGAACCCTAATGCCTAAACCCTAAACCCTAAACCCTAAACCCTGAACCGGCTAGCAGTCGAGATCCGACCGGGCTCGTTCTAACAGGCCTATGATGCCCAGCAGCGGCTTTCTTCTCATAATCCTAAACCCTGAACCCTAAACCCTAAACCCTAAACCCCCCTTAAGCACAAATTGGCCTTAAAGGATCCCCCCCCCCCCCCCTGCCCAGCCTAGCAAGGGTTTTAGGATGTCGGGGCTGCCTGGGAGGAGGGCTTAGGGTTTGGGGTTTAGGGTTTAGGGTTTAGGGTTTAGGGTTTAGGGTTTAGAACCCTAAACACCTAGACCCCTGGACCCCTAAACCCCTCATGAGACCCCTAAGCCCCTAAACCCCACATCCCTCAACCCCAAACACCTAAACCCCCAAAAAAGGGTTTTCACGATGGACGGGGGGCTCCTTGCACCACGTGGCAAGCCATTGGTCCACATCCCATCCCCTCAAGCCTCCGATATATGGACCCTCCTCAACCCTTCTGAAACACTCAGCCCTAATCCCCAACATGAACCCAGAGCCCAGAACCCTGATACCCCCTCCAAAAAATAAATCAGAAACGACTTAAAAACAAAACAATGCACGTAAGGCATTGGGAGTGCATTCACTGTTGGTGCTAGGGGGCTTCAGTCTTTGTAGGAACCCGTATGCCATCAAAATTACTCTTGGCTGGGTTTAGGTCTAGGATACCTTTCTTAGGGATCAAGACTCAGCATGCCCCCAAAAATTATGCAAAAAGGGTTAAGGGTTTAGGGTTTAGGTGTAAGGGTAAGTATCAGCCCCCCTCGCGGCCCTTTCGGGGGTGTCCAGCGCAATGGCGTGCCGCCGCGGGGCAGTGTTGCTAGCGCTTGTGGGGCTGGCTGCGCTTGGACCAGGCCCGATCTCCGCAAAGAAGCTGGCTCCTTTGTACATGTAAGCCCAAGGGTTTAGGGTTTAGGGCTTAATGTTTAGGGTTTAGGGTTTAGGGTTTAGGGTTTAGGGTTTAGGGTTTAGGGTTTAGGGTTTAGTGGTCCATGTACCTAAACAAGGGATGCTTGGGCTTTAAGAACTTCCTATAATACAGCTAGGGACTTTGGGGTCCAAGTATTGAATAATGAGGTACATGGACCCTCAGGGTAAGGCTAAATTGCTATGTGGCTCATTTGGGCACATGAAGGCCTTGTTTTGGCGTGTATCGGTACTGCCTGAAATTGTCGTCTCTTTTGGGTTTTGTGTTAGTAATACGGAGCTTGCATTTATTTCGCGACCGCGAAAAGGTTCGATCCTGATGAGCCCCTACCCGCAGCTGAGCAGTTGGTGCTGGTCTACTTACTTAGTAGTAGAGTAGATCACATTTAACCTTGTTAGGGGGATTGTACTCCCTATAATCCCCAAGGTTAACCTTGAGTTGTCTAGGCTACTGGACAACTAAGCTCAAGACACCAAACATCCCCGTGCCCAAAACCCTACGTTCCCCGCAAAAGCTTCCCGAAATCCCTAAAGCCTCCAGACTGTACGGGTCCAATAGGTGACAATAAAAACCCAAGCTGGGGGTAAGGGGGTACCCTTTTGGGGGGTCCCTTTAAGGGATTCTGTTCTATAGTGGGTTAGGGTTTAGGGTTTAGGGATGTTCCCCCTTATACTAACAGCTCCTTAATAGGGATTAGAGTACGGGGGGGGGGCCCTATACTATAATCCCTATTAAGGACTGTTAGTATAAGCGCAAGGAGGAACATCCCAACCCTGAACCTTAAAAGCCTAAACCTGAAACCCTCCTTTCAACTACTCTAAAGTCCTGGGCAGCCTACTTCCTCCTGAAAATCTGTAGGCTTAGCTCCCTGAAACCCCAATTATGGTTGATCTAAGTTCGGCTCCCTATTAGTATGAAGTCGCAAAATATGTGTATACATATGTATATATATATATACATGTGTATATAGATGTTTACACACATATGTCGTTTGTTTATGCTGTATAAGATAAAGTTCTATTACATGGAAAACGTATGTTTCAAAGCCTGTGCCCTGTAGCCCTAAACCCTAAGCCCCAAAGAGACAAAACACCTAAACCAAAGGTGTAGAGTAGGGTAACCCGAAACCCTAAACCCTAAACCCTAAACCCTAAACCCTAAACCCTAAACCGTGCCCATCGTTCGAGGCTTCACTGGCTTTCGCGCGCCAGCGTTGCACCACGGCAACGGGAGGCCGCGTGGTAAGTCGTTGCGGGACATACATCAGGTACAACATGCTGCTCCAGGATATTTAGGGTTTAGGGCTTAGGGCTTAGGGTTTAGGGTTTAGGGTTTAGGGTTTAGGATGTTTGACTTTTCTGGAACAAGACGCATCATAATTAGTGGGGACGGTTTCAACGGCGGCGGGAGATTTTCGCCCTCCAAACCCTAAACCCTAAACCCTAAACCCTAAACCCTAAACCCTAAACCCTAAACCCTAAACCCTGGCCTGGGGTAAAGAGAAAACATACCGGCTCCATGCACCTGTATACTACTTACCCCTAAGAGTCCATGTACCTCATTCTTATATACTTGGGCCTTAAGGTACTTCCTACATAGCGACTTTGGGGCCCAAGTATATAATGATGAGGTACGTGGACCCTTAGGGTACTTGGGCCTTAAGGGAACCCCTTTCAGACCCTATAGACACTCAACTCCCAACTCCGACGCCCCAAACCATACGCACATCTATTCCTTAGGGAAACTTGGCTAGGACTGCTTTTTGGTTCAGGGAGTGCATATATGGCCGACTGAGAGTTGTTTGACGTTAGGGCTGCTGTTTCTCTATTTTGGAGAGCACCACATGTGAATATCTGTGAGGTTGAAGGTTTAAGGTTTGGGGTTTGGGGTTGATTTTGGGCGTTTGATGTTTTGACCCATGGGTTCAGAGCAGCCAGCCGTTGATGCTTCAGGGCACTTCTTGATGGGAGAGTCTTGGGATGTTCCCCCTTTATACTAACAGCTCCTTACCAGGGATTATAGCACCCCTTACTACAATCCCTGGCTATATATATATATACAGACAGAAAACGTCATACTAAAATATATATATATATAGAGGACAATATCAACCCTAAACCCTAAACCCTAAAACTATATACATAGATAGAGAGAGATAAATATAAATATAAATATTTAAATATAAATATCTAAATATAAATAAATAAAAATAAATAAATATATATATATATATACATATAAATACAAATACATATATATATATATATATATATATTGATCCAGGACTGTTAGTCTAAGCGAGGAAGAGCCCAAAGAGAGTCACCGTGAGGCTCCCGCGACCGCTTGGCGCGGCCGCGGTGGACCTACCTCCGCCGCCGACCGAGGTCTCCGAAGGAGGCAGAGATGTTACAGGGTTTTAAAGCGGGATTTAGGGCTCTTAAGGGGGTGTAGGGTTTAGGGTTTAGGGTTTAGGGTTTAGGGTTTAGGGGGTTCAGTGGGTTTGTAACCCAACGTTCTCTAATTCTCCTCCCCACTCCTCCCTAAGGCTCCCTAGGTTTTTGAAGGTCCCGTAGGTACCTTCCCCCCATGAACCCCCCTCCCTTAAGAAACCCATAAAGATGGGAGCCCTCAAGCCTTTTCATAGCTTGGTAGGGCCTTGGGATATTTGTGTTATACTTTCCCTTGTTTAAGAAGAGGATCATAGTCAGGAATGTTTTTCAGAGAGTTTTAGGGCCATCCTAGACAGGAGTGTTTTTATGAAGCTGTTATACGGTTTCCAGATGTCGGTTTTGTTTTAAACAGGTGTTTCTAGGTTTATTATACAGGGGCCTTTCTAGGGCTTTAGATGGCGTAGCGCCTGCAACCAAATTGTCTTGTCAGAGTCTGCGACCCATGAAGTTTAGGTGCCCCCCCAAGCAGGGCCTTCAATGCTTCAATCGGTTTTAGGGTTTAGGGTTGAGGGTTATGGTTTCAGGGGAAATTGCTCCGAAGATGGGTTGGCTGCGGTTATGTGAGTTATGTGCAGCGCCTTGTGCAGAGGTTTAGGGCTTAGGGCTTGAGGCTTAGGGTTCAGGGTTTAGGGCTTAGGACTTAGGGTTTAGGGCTTCGGGCTTAGGGCTTCGGGCTTAGGCCCCTCTACACATCGTGGGGGGCCACCCATGCCGCCAAGGTACCCTATAGACCCGAAACCCGCGGCTCTACAGGCCCTACTTCGGATTCATTATAATCATGGTAGCTATGCTTATATCCCTATTTTGGGGTACTTATCGCCTTACTTCTAAGTACCCATGAACCTCCAAGTAAGACGAGCTTTTGGTAGAAAGAGAGAGCAGGGTGGAGGGTCCACGGGCTTGCCGAGTCCCCAGTTTCGCGCCCGTGGTCTTGCCCATCTTACGGCCTTTGCAGGCTTCAGGGTTTAGGGTTTCAGGTCTCAGGTTTAGGTAAACCCTAAACCCTAAACCCTAAACTGTAAACCCTAAACCCTAAACCCTAAACCCTAAACCCTAAACCCTAAACCCTAAACCCTAAACCCTAAACCCTAAACCCTATAAGCCCTAAACCCTAAACGTTTATAGGTTTTAGGGTTTAGGGTAGGTTTCTTTTGTTCTTTTCTTAGCGGGGTGCAGGGTCGCAAGAGCCCCCTCTGCACTGGGTGCGTAGCCCGAATATCCCATGGCTTCTATATTCGGGTTTAGGGTTTAGAGTTCAGGGTT